GCGCTCATGGTCTCCCCCTGTCCAGGCCTTCATTTGTCCCCATGGCATCAGTCCATAGCCCTGGGCTGTCCTCCATTTTCACTTCCCTCTTACTTCAACACATCTTGTATCCCACGGCCAGTTTAGTAATATTCAAACTCTATTTTTAAAAGAAATCTGACCTCACTCTTATGAGAATGTAAATCCCCATACGTTCTCCCTACTTTTGATCCCATCTAATCATCACAAAGTGTTTCTTAAGCACTTAAGAATTCAAATAGTACTACTACAGGTCCAGGACTTTTCAGTCGCCCCAAAGACATCTTGAGGGTGTCTTTGGTTTACAGGCCCAAATTTGTCATTTTAATTGTTCCTCTACATTATTCTGCTCATTAATAAAAAAAAAGAGAGAAGGATGGGCGTGGCGGCTCATGCCTATAATCCCAGCACTTTGGGAGCCCGAGATGAGAGGATTGCTGGAGCCCACAAGTTCGAGACCAGCCTGGGCAACTTGGCGAGACCTCATCTCTACAATAAATGAAAAAAATTAGCCAGGTATGATGGTGTGTTCCTATAGTTCTAGCTACCTGGAAGGCTGAGGCGGAAGGATCACCTGAGCCCAGCAGGTAGAGTCTGTGGTGGCTGTGAGTGTGCCACTGCATTCTAGCCTGGGCGACAGAGTGAGACTTCAACTCAAAAAAAAAAAAAAAGAAAGAAAGAAAGAAAAGAAGGAAAAATGACAAGTGAGACTCAGCATCTCTTATAATTGGCTGTGGGAGCAACAGAACCTGGTGGCAGTTGCCATGAAGGTATGTAGAGGTCCTGGTGATGGGTTATCAACAGAACTCAAGTGCTGCAGCCAGTCCAGGAAGTGGAGAGAGCGCCAACCAGGATATCAACAGAGGGCAAGGCTGCCACTCAAGGACCAGGCTGAATGGGTTCCTAGAGTCTGGGGTGCGAGTGCAACTTAAGCTGCTCCTAGCACTTAGTCAATGTTCATTTAATAGGACTCAGTTGGATGGAACCCTAAAGAGGACAGTGTTTTGAAAGAGCTTTTCAACTTAGGTTAATGCAGCCTTCACTAAATTGTAAAGACTTCAGTGGGTTCAAAATATAACAGACAGTTAAAATATAAATAGACAGTCTTTTTTTTTTTGAGTTGAAGTCTCACTCCGTCGCCCGCTGGAATGCAGTGGCACACTCATGGTCACCCCAGTGTCGACCTGCTGGGCTCCGGCGATCCTTCCACCTCAGCCTTCCAAGTAGCTGGAACTACAGGCGCGAACTATCATGCCTGGCTAATTCTTTTTTTTAAGTTTATTGTAGAGACTAGGTCTCGCCAAGTTGCCTAGGCCGGTCTCGAACCTGCAGGCTCAGGCAATCCTTTCGCCTTGGCCTCCCAAAGTGCTGGGGATTACAGGCTTGAGCCACCATGCCCAGCTAACAGACACTCTTAATGATGCCGTAGTTGTTTCCAAATTTGAAGTTTCAAGTACTTCTTGGGCTGGGCACGGTATCTCATGCTTGTAATCCCAGCTACTTGGGATGCTGAGGCAGGAGGATCACTTGAGCCCAGGATGAGGCTGCAGTGAGCTGTGACTGTGCTACCGTACTCCAGCCTGGACAACAGAGTGAGACCCAGACTCAAAAAAGAAAAAGTACTTGCTTTTTAAACAATTGCAGTCATAGAGTTAGGAATCTGGATCATCATGTGATGCTATGGCATCCCAGTTCCTCTACGGCAAACTGATAGTTCTGTCCCCGTGCCTTTAAGGGTGTACAGAACTTAAAAGTTGTTGAAACAAAATTGTAGGCAAGTTTTTAAACATTATCTATGCAAGGAACCCTAAAAGTAGGGTCTCACCAACTCTAAATGCTTCACTCTAGGGGAGTGGACTGGATAGGTATTCCCTAAAAGATCCTGTCTCACAGGTCCAGAGGAAGCACAGCTTTCTTGTTATGCCATGACTAGAACTCCCTTCTATAAAGAATTTCAGGAGAGCCTCCTACTGACAGATACAAAGGTTTCCTCAAGGCCTTTTGGTCCCAGTGGCATCAGTCCCTCAGCCAAGTATTTCCTGTTCTTAGTATCCTAAATATTGCTGAAATAATTTTAATTGTATAAGTTGTTTTTTTGTTTTTACATCATTGACCTCATCAGACTTATAGCCATATTTTCATATGTGGTTGTGAGGATTCCATGAGATAATTTATGCCAAAATTTTAGGCCAGTGCCAAGGAATACTATCCATATTCCAGAAATCCTCTATTCCAGAACTTCTCAAACTTCAATGCACTTAGGAATCACCTGAGTAATCTTCTTAAAATGCAGATTCTGGGCCAGGCTCAGTGGCTCGGCCTGTAATCTCAGCACTTTGGGAAGCTGAGGCGAGAGCACTGCCTGAGCCCACAGGTTTGAGACCAGGCTGGGCAACTTGGCAAGACCTTTTTATAAAAAATAAAAAATTAGCTGGGCATGATAGCACACACCTGTAGTTCTGGCTACTTGGAAGGCTAAGGTGGAAGGTTGATGCAGGGATGGCCATGAGCATGCCACTGCACTCCAGCCTGGGTGACAGAGTGAGACTCCAACTCAAAAAAAAAAAAGAAAAAGAAAAATCACAGCATCACACAGAGCTACCCATGTGCAGTGGCCAAGGGCTTAGTTGGTACTAAGGGCAGAGTAGGACAAAGCCTGAAAGAATGAGGAGGAGGTGGTGACCAAGTGTGACCAACAAAGTCATGATAACACATATAGAAGGTATATTTAAATCACTGACTCAAGCAAAAGAGAATGAGATTAATAGATAATAGTTTTAACATTCTTTACTATAATTTTAAAGTTAGTAGGCAAACAGGGTTGATGTCAGGGAGATATATTTAGGCAAGAGGCCCTCTCAGCACCCTTCGCATGATGTCAGTGACCGACTATTCTGCCTCCTCATGTGGCTAGCCCTGGCCATAATGATTTATTTCTGAGCTTTAACTCCAGTGAAAGTGACAAGGTATAAAATTAAAGGTCAAAGACAGTCTTTAAGGCCTGGTACGGTGGCTCATGCCTGTAATCCCCTAGCACTTTGGGATGCCTAGGTGGGAGGATTGCTTGAGCCCAGGAGTTTGAGACAAGTTTGGGTAACATATCAAGTCCTCATCTCTACAAAAAATAAAAAAATTCGTGGGGCATGGTGGCATTTGGCTGTAGTCTCAGCTGCTCAGGAGGTTGAGGCATGAGGATCACCTGAGCCCAGGAAGTCAAGGTTGCCATGAACCGTGATCATGCCACTGCACTCTAGTCTGGGTGACAGAGTGAGACCCCAAAAGTTAAGCAAACAAAAAACCCAAAAAACAAAAATAATCTTTAATCTTAACCTATTAAGTTTAAGTCAATGAATTAGTCACTTTAATTATATTGTCCTGTTTCCCTGCTATGGAGATATTTAATTCCAGAGAAACAAAGTGTATATAATTAACTGTTAAAGAAATATTTTCTCCTCTTGAGATTTTAAAACATCTTCCCACCTGGTTCCATAACCCTGAGCTCTGGGCTGTAGTTCCAGTACCTTCACTGTACCCCCAAAATGTAACCACCCTTCCTCCAATCTATTTAACTTCACAGTCTGCAGTTTTCCACTGATGCGAACAACCTCTCTACCTTTAAATTTTTAGAAACTTAGTTAGTTAATTCTCATATTTTATGCTTAAATATTATTATCACTATTTGAAATTACTGTCATATTGGCCAAGAAAGTGCTTAAGTAGCTGGATTATCTAGGAGTAGCTGTGAGTCAGCCTGTCTGCTTGGTTACTCCTAAGCCAACACACCCTCGTCTCACTAGGACAGCACTCCAGCATATCCTTGGAGACCTCAGTGCCATAGAAACCTTGGAAAAACGAAACTAAAGTAAGCACAGTGAATGTGACTATGCCCAGCGAGCAGGCACAATTGTCACCCAGACACAGATAGCAGAGTCAGGGCGTATGGATGGAGGTAACACAGGCAGGCAGGATAGAACTGGGAGTTAGGGTATCTGAGCAGTTGTTTTAGGTCTCCTTTTACTTGACATTGGTAGCCTCAGCCTGTACGCTTCAAAGTTCAGAGTAACACAGAATCCCTTTTGCCGCATAAGCCACTTCCCAGGGTGTCCTTAGCTGAACTCTGAACCAGAGAAAAACAAGGAAATAAACACTGCTCCCTTACCCCTGCAGACATTTGTGTATGCAACCACTATGCAGTTATTCCAGAAGCTAGAAAAAAATCAATCTACATTTTGTAACTTTTAATACTTCAAGTATCATTAGTCATTTTCCTTCTGCCACGCTGGATGTGCAAATTTTAGGGTTTTAGCAATTTTTGGTTTTGGTGCATATGCCTGCATACATTTTTCAACTTTAAAATACTTTCACTTGTATTCCACGGATGCGTTTTGGATTCAAGGGAGCTGGGGAGGAGAGAGAGTCACATTTAGGGAATATTGTTAGAGAAAAACAAGTTTTAAACTCAGCAGATAGAGTTTCAACAGCACATGCAATAAATACGATAGGGATACATTAACCAGTAGGGTGACACAGGAGATAAAATGTAAGCTACATGAGAATGATTTGCAATTAGTACAGCAGATGTTGACTGGAGAAAAGCTCTCAGCATCTGGACTTTAGAAAAGAGGAATTCTGGGTTCTGGGCCTTCCACCTATATTCTCACCACCTCCTCTGCCTCCCAGCTACCTCCACTTCCACCCCTAGCCTTAATGGTTTACCACAGAACAATTCTGGTGGATTGCAGAAGACAGAACCCAAGCTGTCTGAAAGCAGGTAATCTCTTCCTGCTCTATGATTTTACATTTGAAACAAGTTTACACATGGCTGGGTCTCATTTTCAGGGCTAGCCCTCCCCCCACCCCCTTGTATAATTAGCTTAACAACTCTCTGCCTCAGGGCATAAAGCTGATATGCAGCTCAGTGTCGGCTACCTAATCATCACCCCATGTCCCCTTGGTGTGTCTCTGGTGTTTGCAAAGCTTACCTTAGTGGACTGGGATGAGTCGGCATCTGCTGCACCTGCGTCCCTTGACTGTGAGCGAGCAGACTGCAGGGAGGTGGCTGGGGGTGCATCAGCTGCAGCAGAGGACAGGGTTCTGTTGGGGAGCCAGGGAAAGGAGAGAAAACTTCAACAGAAATAGTTCAAGTGTTTCGAAGTTAAAAATAAAACGATATCACAAGGGGCAATGTGACCAGGCTCGGCTTACGACGTTTTCCTGCCCCTGTATTTATCCATGCTCGGTCTCTACCGGAGTGGCATTTAGCAAAGGAAACTCGATGGGAAAGGTGTTTTATATCAATGGGTTTTCTTTCCCTCGAGGAAAGAGGAAAATGCTTTTGAGAAGGATCATTTTCAAGGCTAGAGCAGTCTCTTCGTGTGTGCAGTCGGCAGGTCCAGCTGTGCCAGAGGAGGTTGGTGGGGCATTCGGGACGGGCTGCTGCTCTAATTATAACTATGTTTCTCACCTAAAGCCATCGCTCGCTGAAGCAGCAACTTGAGCAAGTGACGTGCTGTCCTGCTCCTGTTTCTTGTCATGACAAGTCAGTGACTGTCCTCTCCTGGCCCTTGTCTTTTCCAGGTGACTGGGAAAGGGAGAATTTGTAATTCAGAAGTCAGTCATACAGTAAGTCCAGTGTGAGAGAATTAGAGGTGGCAGGAGGTTTAGCTATCACTTAATCCATCTCCCTCTTTTTACAGATGAGACAGAGGTTCAGAGAAGGTGAGTTGCTCATCCAAGGCCATACAACTGGAGAGTGGAAGAGCCAGAGGGAAGACCTACTGAGTTCTTTGAAATCTAGTGTTCTTTATCTTATCCTCTTCAGACGAACTCATTCAGCCATCTTCTGAGAAAAACTATATATATATAATCCTGACTTTGCTAATTCCTAGATATGTGGCTTTGACCAAGTTATTTATTGAACCATTCTGTATTTCAGTTTTCCCAGTTGTTAAGTGGGGATGATAATACTTGTTGTGACCACGTGTAACTGTGTCAACACATTAATGTTTTGATATACATAAAGCAAAAAGACGTGTACCAAATACCAAGCGTTCAACAGTGCTAGCTGTATTTTGACTAAAAACAGATGTGCTAAATTCTTCTATAATTAACAGTCACTGAGTTTTCCTTTCTCCTGGATTCTTCCACACAGGTACACTTATTTGGGGTGAACAACTCACAGTTGAAAACTGTAAACATTTTCCATATTGATCTTTTAATCTCGAAACTTTTCTGAACTCATTAATTAGTTCTAACAGTTTTCTTATGGATTCCTTAGGATTTTCTATGTACAAGATCATGCCATCTGTGAATGGAAATATCTGTACTTCTTACTTTTCAATCTGGATGCCTTTTATTTCCTTCCAGCACTATGTTTAACAAGAGTGATGAAAGCAACCATATCTGACTTGTTCCTGATCTTAGAGGGAAAGCATTTGGTTTTTCATTGGTAAGTATGCTACCTGTGGGTTTTTGTAAATGGTATTTTTCTTCCTTCCTTTCTTCTTTTCTTCCTTCTTTCCTTCCTCCCTCCCTCCCTCCTTTCCTTCCTTCCTTCCTTCCTTCCTTCCTTCCTTCCTTCCTTCCTTCCTTCTTTTTTCATTTTTTGAGTCTGGGTCTCACTCTGTCGCCCAAGCTGGACTGCAATGGCACTATCATAGTTCACTGCAGCCTCAACCTCCTGGGCTCAGACAATTCTTCCACCTCAGCCTCCTGAGTAGCTAGGACTGCAGGCATTCACCACCACTCCTAGCTAATTTTTTTTATTTTTTAATTTTTCATGAAGACGAAGTCTCGCTCTGTTGCCTAAGCTGGTCTCAAACTCCTGGGCCCAAGCTACCCTCCCACCTTGGCCTCCCAAGGTGTTAGAATTAGGGGTGTGAGCTACCACACCCAGCTATAGATATTCTTTATAAAGTTGAAGGAGAGGAGCTTGATAATTTGGCCTAGTTTGTTGAGTGTCTGTATCATGAAAGGATGTAGAACTTTGTCAAATGCTTTTTTTGTGCCTATCAAGATGATAATGTGGTTTTGGTTCTTTATTCTATTAATAATGGATTATGCATTGGTGGATTTTTGTGCGTTAAATCAACCTTCCATTTCTGGATAAACCCCACTTGGTCATGGTACATAATCCTTTTTATATGTTGCTGAATTCAATCTGTTAGTATTTTATTGAGGATTTTTGCATCTGTATTCAGAAGAGATATTATAAGTTGAGCATCCCAAATCTGAACATCTGAAGTCCAAAATGCTTTAAAATCTGAAACTTTTTGAGTACCAACATAACACCGCAAGCAGAAAATTTCATACCTGACCTCATGTGATAGATCATGATCAAAACTTAGTTTCATGCAAAAAATATATAAAATGTTATATAAAATTACCTTCGGGGTATATATATATATATATATGGTATATATAAAACACAAATGAATTTCACATTTAGACTTGTGTCCGATTCCCAGGATATCTCATTATGTATATGTATATGTATATCAAAAAGTAAAAACAAAAAAAAAATCCCTAATTTGAAACACTTCTAGTTTCAGGCATTTCCAATAAGGGATACTCACCTGTAATCTGTAGTTTTTCTGTAATGTCTTTGTCTAGTTTGGGTATCAGTGTAATACTGGTCTCATAGAATGAGTTAGGAAGTGTTTCCTCTCTCTTTTTTTTTTTTTTTTAGAAGAGTTTGTGAAGTGTTGGTGTTAATTCTTCTTTAAACATTTGGTAGAATTTAGCAGTGAGGCAATCTGAGCCTAGGCTTTTCTTTGTGCGAAGTTTTGATTACTAATTCAATTTCTTTACTTATGATAGCCCTGTCTCAGTCCATTTTGTGTTATAACAGAATACCTGAGACTTTGTAAATTTTTTTTTTTTTTTTTGAGTTGGAGTCTCACTCTGGCGCCCAGACTGGAGTGCAGTGGCCGCTCCCGGCCACCGCAGCCTCGACCCGCTGGGCTCCGGCGATCCTTCCGCCTCAGCCTTCCAAGTAGCCGGAATTACAGGCGCGTGCTACCACGCCCGGCTGATTTTTTGATTTATTGTAGAGATGAGGTCTCGCTGCCCAGGTGGGTCTCGAACCCACGGGCTCAGGCAATCCACTCAACTCAGCCTCCCAAAGGCGCGGGATTACAGGCTGAGCTACCGAGCCCGGCGACTTTGTAATTTTTAAAGAAGAGATTTATTTTACACATGTCTGAAGGCTGGGAAGTCCAAGACCAAGGTGGAAGGACAAGAGAGTGAGAGGGACAGAGTGTACACATGTGGGAGGGGAAGGAGGAAGGGTGGTGAGGGAGGGAATGGGGAGGGGGGAAGACACGACAGGGAGAGGGAGAAGGGGGAGGGGGAAGAAGAGTCGGGGAGAACACGGGGGTCAAACATCCTGTTATAAGGAGCCCACTCCCACTCCTGAAATAACTTACTCTCTCCTTCAATAACCCATTTGTGAGGGCTCTGCCTAATCCCCTCTAAAAGGTGCCAACACAGGAACGGTGGGGACACATTCATACCATAGCAAGCTCTAGTCATAGTGTTTCTATTTCGTTTTGAGTTCAGATTTGGTATTTTGTGACTTCCTTGGAATTTGTCCATGTCATCTAAATTACCTAATTTGTTGGCACTCAATTGTTTATGGTATTTCTTTATAATGTTTTTTATTTCAATGAGGCTGGTAGTAGCATTCCCTTTTATTTCTGATTCTAGTAGTTTGAGTTTTGTTTTTTTTTTGTTTTTGATCAATCAATCTAACTAAAGGTTTGTCATTTTGTTGATCTTTTCAAAGAATCGGCATTAGTTTCATTGATTTTCTCTATTGCTTTTCTAGTCCCTATTTCATTTATCTCTGCTCTAGGAATTATTTCTTTCTTTCTGTTTTCTTTGGACTTGGTTATTATCAATATCACATTATGATGATGTATTTATCAAGTTTGCCCAATAATTTTGTTATGTTTTGCTTCATACATTTTGGGTGTATGTTATTAAATAATACAAGTTCAGAATTATTATATCTTTCAGGTTAATGGTTCCTTTTGTTATATTTTTTCTAACAAAGTGTTTTACCTTAAAGTTTGTTTTATTTTACTTTAGAATCAGGGGGACATGTGAGGTTTGTTACGTAGGCATATTGCGAGAAGGCAAAGCCTGGGCTTCTGATAGGCCTGCCTCTGCCCCACCCCACTACCTCTGCTGTTGAGCATGGCACCCAATGGGTGCTTCTGAATCCCTTATTTCCCTTTCCTCCTTCCCCCATAGCAGTATCCAGTGTCTGTGGTTCTCATCCTTGTGCCCATATGCCCAGTGTTTGGTACCCACTTATGAGTGAGAGCATCAGGTATTCAGTACTGTTTCTGTGATAATTCATTTAGAATGATGACCTCCAGCTGCACCCATGTTGCTGCAGACGTCATGATTCTGTTCCTTTTTTTCCTTTAAAAAAATAGTTTTATTGAGATCTAACTTATATGCCATATAATTGACCCACTTAAAGCTATATAATTAAACGGTTTTGGGTATATTACATTAGTGATTTTTAAAGTTGTGCTAAAATAGATATAACATCAAATTCACCATTTTAATCATTTTTAAGGTGTACAATTAAGTGGCATTAAGTACATTCATAATGGTATACAACCATCACCACTACCCATTTTCAAAACTTTTTCTTGCCCCAAGCAGAAACTCTGTAGCCATAAAGCAATCCCGTTCTTTTTATGGCAGCATTGTATTCCATAGTGTATGTGTACCACATCTTGTTTATCCAGTCCATCACTGATGCACACCTGGATTGTTTCCATGTTTTTGCTGTTGTGAATAGTGCTGCAATAAACATACATGGACAGGTGTCTTTTCAGATGATTTAAGCTCCTTTGGATATATATCCAGAAGTGGGATTGCTGGGTTGAATGGTAGATCTATTTTTAGTTCTTTGAGAAATCTCCAAATTGTCTCCCACAGTTTCCATGTGTTGACATTCCTTAGCTTACATTCTCACCAACAAGTGTTCCCTTTTCTCAGCAACTACAGCACCTGTTGTTCTTTGGTTTTTTAATAATAGCCATTCTGGTCACAAATCATTGTGGTTTTGATTTATGTTTCTCTGATGATTAGTGATGTTGAGCATTTTTTTATGTTTGTTGGCCATTTGTGTGTTTTCATTTGAGAAGTATCTGTTCATGTCCCTGAAAGTTTAAATGGACAGATATTAAAAAAACTATGCCAGCTTTTTTTCTGTTTAAAAAAAGTTATTGATTGGAGACCTTCGCTTTTTTGATAGATATTTATAGCTATAAATTTTCTTCTAAGCTCTGATTTGGCTCCATCCCATAAGTTTTGGTATGTTTCGCTTTTGTTTTCATTGGCTCAAAAGTGTTTTCCTTGGCCAGGCATGGTGGTTCATGCCTATAATCCCAGCACTTTGGGAGGCCTAGGTCGGAGGATTGCTTAAGCCTAGGAATTCAAGTCCAGTCTAGAGGGGGGGGTGTGGTGGCTCACACCTGTAATCCTAGCACTTTGAGAGGCCAGGTGAGAGTAATGCCTGACCCCAGCCTGGGCAACATAGCAAGATCTCATCTCTATTACAAATAATAATAATAATAAAGAAAAGACTAGCCTAAGCAACATAACGATATTTTTCTCAAAAAAAAAAAAAAAAAAATCAAAACCTTAGCTGGGTGTGGTGGCTCGCATCTGTAGTCCCAGCTACTCAGGAAGCTGAGGTGGAAGGATCACCTGAGCTCAGGAGGTCGAGACTGCAGTGAGCCATGACTATGCCACTGTACTTCAGCCCGGGCAGCAGAGTGAGATTTCCGTTCTAAGTAAGTAAATAAATAAATACTACTTGGAAGGCTGAGGCAGAAGGATCGCCGGAGCCCAGCAGGTCGAGGCTGCGGTGGCCGGGAGCGGCCACTGCACTCCAGTCTGGGCGACAGAGTGAGACTCCAACTCAAAAAATAAGTAAATAAATAAATAAATACAAATGTTTTCCAAATTTCCTTGTGATTTCTTCTTTCCCCATTGACTGTATAGGATTGTGTTGTTTAATATCCACATATTTGGCCGAGCTCGGTGACTCAGCCTGTAATCCCAGCACTTTGGGAGGCCGAGGCGAGTGGATTGCCTGCGCCCGCGGGTTCGAGACCCACGTGGGCAAGTTGGCAAAACCTCATCTCTACAATAAATCAAAAATCAACCAGGCATGGGAAT